GGGGGGGGGGGGGAGGAAGAAAGGGGAGGATGGTGACTGTTTTCCTGAATACCTACTCTGTCATGGTATTTGTGGGAACTTGAGAAAAAAAATCATGTGCCATTGTCTGGATGCATGACAATTGCCAGCATGGAGAGTAGAGGGGCAGTAATGCTGCGATGCAATTCGTAGGCCACAAGCGCCGGCATTGTTGGTCCATGTGATACTCATGCCGCTATGGTGGATAAGAATAATCAGCAACGGAGAAGCAGTCATGGCTGATCGAGACCTTTTGAGTCTCAACTTCTAAGGCCACCACCGACATGCATCAACACGATTCAACAGACATTTTGTTAAAATGGACATTTTATAACTTTTGAACGGAATTGGAACCTACTTATTTGGCCCCATAAAGGTCACCTTTTTTCAGCTCCTGAGGGTCCAGGGTTCTGAAATGCCGGACCCCCTTGGATGTATCTGGAATTAGATGAAGTCCATATACGTTTTCAGAAAGCGGGACCCTCCGGAGCCACAGAGATGACCTTTATGGGGCCAAATAAGTAGGTTTCAATTCCGTTCAAAAAATATAAAATGTCCATTTTAACGAAATGGCTGTTCATAGAGCTACCGTCTTCCCCCAAACATAACGCACCCTAAAAATGAATGTACAAGCTATATTTCCGGCCAGATACATCCAAAATGAGGGTGCGTTGTGTTCGGGGGAAGACGGTAGCTTGCTTCAGAAGGGCAAGACTTAGTTCAAAAATTTCAAACATAATGGGGATGATGTGCAAGGAATGGCAAATATTATTGAAATATATGACTGAGAATGGATATTAGTAAATTACCCACAATGCCTTGTTTGCATGGTGATTACCACCTAGGGTTGGATATCCTTAATATTCCTTATCCCCAACTGGTGAAAACTGGTATGGTACCAGGTCTTGTTGGCTCGGCAGGTCAGGTCCGAAGGTAGTTGTGATTTGACATATTAGTTATTTTAACTTATTTACTATTTAGTATTTAGTACATGGCAATTCTGGGTATTTGGGAAGTAGGGAAAGGTTTAAGAATTGTATGTTTTCCTTTGACACACCTTCTCTCTGCGCAATTCCTCAACCTGCTTGCTGTGGCCTTGCATCAATATCGCCAAACTTTCTGTCCTCTCAAGTCGCAAAGACTGGTTCTCATGTGCTGTGTCAGACACGAAAGGACAGTGTGGTACAAATGGGATGCGGTCAGGTGAGTTTGGCTTTGTTGTACATAAGACCAGGCTCCAATGTGCTATTTTTGTGCTAAGCTATCTGGACGTTTTAATGACCAAGTGCATATTTGTTGTTTACTGGTCATGACCATAGCTATGAACATGGCCCAAGTGCCAGATGTTTCATGCTTTGTCCCTATGGACACATAGCACAAGCGCCAGTAGAGCTACTACTTTCTTTTTCCCCTTTTTCCTTCTTTGTTTCCCCCCCCTTCCCCTCCTCTCCCCTTCCCTTCCCTTTTTGTCACTGTTCTTTTTTTTTTTTTTTTAACCCAGGGTGTTGTTGAGGCCAGTTGCTAGGCACACATTGATCGCCGGAAGTGGTCAGCCGTGGTCGCCCTGAGGAGACGAGGCCACCTCCCATCCCATCCTCGTGTCAATACTCCTAGCGCATCCCCTATCCCTACTATCCTACCTCAGTGTGACCAGCACTCAGGACCATCACCCTACCAGTATCGAGGGCAACTTGGACCGAACAGTAGTGAGAGGCACCAGGGCTAGCAACCCAGCCCTGGTGGAAGCATAGTCGAACGAGCCTCGTCGTACGGGTACTTCGGACGCCAGGCCCAAGCAATCACCTATTAGCCCCTAAGTTGACCAACCAGTAACTCACGCCCTCTGCTCTCCCACCACAGACGTAGCTGTATATTTAATGCGGGGTACTTATCATCAAGACGCCTATCATTATCACCAGTTGGAACCCACCAGACCAACCAGTGACTCACGCCCTCTACTCTCCCACCACATACCCCACTAGCTGTATTTTTAAGGCGGGGTACTTATCATCGAGACGCCTATCATCATTATCAGTTGATCATGACCTCTTATCGGCCCTATAGTCGTGTGTGTGTATGTGTTTGTGTGTTCAGTATCATTGGCATGTGCCCGCAGGCTCTGTGTCTGTTCGTAGTAGTGTGTCTGGACTCGATTTCGTAGCAGACGCTGCTCCCCACCATGGAGTATCTGCTGAGTGAGTACCGGTGAGAGGTGCTGCTCCTATCACCACCACCAGTACATGTGTGTGTGTGTGTGTGTGTGTGTGTGTGTGTGTGTGTGTGTGTGTGTGTGTGTGTGTGTGTGTCTTGATCTATGTGGATCTGGGGTGGTGTAATATGTGGTAGAGACAGGCCTATCTGGACAGGTCCCCCCCAAAGTCCAGAACCGGACTCGAACCTGTGACCTACAGTATGAGACTGGAGGGTTCTACCACATGCACTACAGTAGGAAGTGGATAAAATGTGTGAAATATCTAGGCTGCGGGAGATCATCAGAGTGACCAAAGCCAACAACAGCAAGCAACCAACGTGAAGTCTAGACCAGCATACAACACCCTCCATCAGGATTTGAACTCATCATCTCTTCTTTTTTTCTTTTTTCCTTTTTTTTTCAAACGGAGGCCCAGTGCCCAAGGCTCATATTATGTCATAGAAACAACCGGTACTGACGCCTCTTCCCATTAAGGCTGGAAGAGCCTTGGCCATTGCTTCAGTGAGACAGATTCCCCGATTCTAGTTCTTTCACAGGCAGGAGGCATTGATTGCTTCTCCATGGAGAAAGGCTGACCTCCCTCCCACCTACCACATTCAAGCCAATACTGCTCATAAGCCAAAACCTGATCTGTTCCTCAAAAGTTGCATAAACGAACCATTCAGTCCCAAGGGCTGGGTGGGACTTTGCGACTTAGGCTTGGAACCATTCAGTCCCATGGGCTCGGTGGTGGGACTTAGGCTTGTGCTCCAGCAATTGCAAACACCAGTTCACAGGATCTTCTTTGCATGAAGCTACTCTCCGAGGCTCCGGAGCCTCCACATGGGGCTTTTCTTTGTGGCCTCCACAGGCCAATACTGTAGTCCCATGCGCAGGAAGCGGTACGCTGTTACCATGCACACTTCCGTCTTCACCCGAATAGAACGCCCGGTCATTATCACTGCATCTGGACTGAAAGTTGGGCCAAATGCAGCTATAATGACCGGGCATTCTATTCGGGTGAAGACGGAAGTAAGAGCCTGACTTAGCTTGGAGGGTTGAATTGGTGGTTCAAAGTTCAAACCACCGGTACTTCCGAGGCAGTTTTTTTCCGGGGAAGGGAACACACTGCGCGCCAAAAAGAAACGAACCGGCGTGGGCCTCCTTTTGGTTGGCGCAACCAGGCATTTTGCTCCGGGGGCAGAGCCCTGAAAGTTGTGGCAGCATGCAAGCCGCAACTTTTTCCCCGACGGCCCTTGCATGCTGCCACAACTTTCGGGGTACAGCAACCGGAGCAAAATGACTGCCCAGCGCCAACCAAAAGGAGGTCCACGCTGGCTCGTTTTTCTTTGGTGCACAGGGCATTCGGAGCCCCCGGCAAAAGTGGCTCGGAAGAACTGGTGGTTTAAGTTATAACTTATAAGGGAAATTGTTGGAAGTTCGGTGGGGCTCCACTGCATTGGCACCGAGTTTTTCTTTACACCAGCTCTGCTGCAGTGCGGCCAGAAAGGGACAAAAGTTGTTCCTTACGGCCAGTCGGGCATCTCCGTTAGTCTGAGAATTCAGCAACTCAGTCTGTTCAGCCAACCTCTTCCTTTTGCTTGGGTGCTGGATAAGATCGCGGCCAGCACTGAACTCATCATCTGATATTAATCGCACTCCAGAGCTTCATAAGAAAATAGTGTGCACATATCTTTTCATGGAGGGAACTCGGTGACACTTTCGTAAGAAGGATGAAGAGTACACCCAATGCAGCCGCACCACGGGTTTATAAAAAAGTTGCCGTTCTTATGTCAAGAAAGGGAATTCCCATAGTTGGTGGAGCACAAGCCTCCGTACCTCTTGCTGCCCCCCCCTCTCTTCCCCCATTGCCCCCACCCCCTTTCATCTTTTCTCAGTTTCTTTGTCTCTCTTTTCCCTTTCTTTGTTGCGTGATATAGATAGCACCATTGTGTTTGTTGATAGGACTAAAACTACTTTTCTTGAAGACTGAAGAACGAAAACTCAAAACATTGGTATCCAGACTGAGGTAGAGAAGAAGGTCAGAAGCATGATGCTATCATGCTGCGGCAATGTGGTTACGCTTCATATTAAATCTCTGCTACATTGTTGGATTTTGAGTTATCTCTCTTGGCCTCTTCTAATGTCCTGTGGGTAGGACTTCCATCAAAGCACCAGCACACGGCCATACATCGGCTGCGGGTCCCTCACCACAACTTCCGGAGGCCGGAAACACGACAAAGGCGATTGACAAAATTTATCAATGGTGGCCCAGCCTTGAAAGTTGTGGTGGTGAGGACGGGTTCATTTTCTGCACCACTGGGGACGTGTACTGGCGGTTTAAAATGTGTCTAGTTCCTAACACTATTGAATCAATCATAATTCTTCAGCGAATCATCAATCATAATTCTTCACCGAATCATCAATCATAATTCTTCACCGAATCAAATATATAAAAAAAGAAAACAACAGAATCAGACTAAGGCATCCCTGTTCCTCCCTCCCCCCCCCCCGACAGCACTGGGGGTCTCAGGGACTCTTACTGAGTCTTTACGAGTTGGTGAGTTACTTACTGAGCTTTGCTACTTTGTCTTCCAGCACTTGGGTGGCTTTCTCATGATCCCTCTGCAGCTGCTGAACCTGACAATCCCACTGGCACACAACGAGGATGCGCAGGTTAATTAGCAGGTCGTGAGTTTGAATTCTAATGGAATCAGACGGATACAATGAGGTTAGAGGCTACGCCCTTTTTTCAGGATTAAAAAACAGGGACAAGAAAAAGAAGTACTACTGCACACAGATGGAAGCCACTGGCCCTTGGAAGTGCTAGCACAAACTTCCAAGCGCCAGCGGATTCCATCTGTGTGCCGTAGTACTTCTTTTTCTTGTCCCTTTTTTTTCATCCTGAAAAAAAGGGGGTAGCCTCTAACACATTGCCGTCCATGATGACAATGTTATAGCCCCCCAACACAACGAAGAGTGTCAGCCGGATACCCAACAACTATCGTGAATGCTCAGTTCTTTGTATGAGGGACGCTGGACCCGTTTTCCACCAGGTGCAGCTCCCCATCAGTAGACTGGAGCCATCAGCACTAGACTACTAGTGATGGGTGTGCATATCATCATGACTAGTAAACCAGGCGGATGAAAAAAAAAAAAAAAAGGAGTGTCAGCATGAAGTTACAAGGTAAGCAATCGACACACGCGTGATCTAACCACCTACCTTTTGTACACGTCCTCTCTCTCTCTCTCTCTCTCTCTCTCTCTCTCTCTCTCTCTCTCTCTCTCTCTCTCTCTCTCTCTCTCTCTCTCTCTCTCTCTCTCT